TCCCTGCCCCCCGGGCCCCCTCCTCGCCGCCCGCCTGGCGTTGACTCGGGGTGTGTTTGCTCGCTCCCCGCTGTCTCTCGGGGGGCGGGGGAAGGAGAGCCCATTTTCCCAGAGTGCCCAGAACACACGATTCTTGCCTGCTGGGTGGAGACGTGAGGAAGGCTATACTTTTCGGCCCTTTGTGTGGCAACACAGCGCTACTTACAGCCTCGTCTAATTCTCCCGCAGCCCCGAGGTGTCGGCGGTCTCCTTACGGAGGAGCGGGGCGAGGCTCGCTCACTCGCTGATGCGTTCCACCCGGAGGCCTTTGCCCAGTGCCTGGGGGTCAGGGAGCTGCGTGCTTGCGCGGGGACGGGAGGAAGTGGCCCACCCGGGACTCAGTGCGGGCTCGGTCTCGGCAGGGCTCTTGCACCTGCCGCCTGGGGCTGCCGCCTAGTCCGCGTGGCTCCCCGCGCGTCCCTGCACCGCCCACGGGGTCGCCCACTGGGTCATGTGGACACGGTCGGGGAGGAGGGCAGGTAGTCAGTCGGCTCATGGCAGCATTGCCACCCTAGTGTGGCATTTCTGAATTTAAAGAACGGTGACCCCGTGAGGAAGACGACCAGGTGCTTCCGTGGAGGTGGGCAGGGTGCATGTGCCTTGTACTTGGGCAAGGAACCTGGTTTGCACTTTCCGAGGTTTGCCAGCTTGCACATTTGTTAAGATAATTAAGTGAGATAATATTTGTGAAGTCTAGCACGGTCACATTTCTTATATTTTATTTCTCCTTCTCCCTCTTCTATGGAACTTTGGTTCTTTGGGTCCCTATGGAAAAATCCTAGCATTCTAAAGTTTTATTATATTTTGTGTCTAAATAAATCTTTTCAATTACATTATTCATTTTGGACAAACAGGTATTTCAAAAGTGGAGGTGCATGGGGAGTGGTGTAAGGAAAGGAAGATGATTTTCAAGCTGGGAGGAGAGAAGTTATTTTAGGACTCCCCACCCCTACTTTACAAAATCAGCTCAGCTGTGCCACAGGCTCAGGAACCGGTGTCGGCTTCATAAAATTGCACAGGACATTTTGACACATATCCTTCCCACCATCAGAGAGCCTATTGACTAGTGGTTTATAATAATTTTCCTCAGAGAGTAAGTGTAAGGAAGACATTCAGAGCCACTTATTGCTGCTGATGGATTTTTAAATCAGTCTCTTGTTTTATAGAATTAGTATTTTTCTTCTTAGTTTTGCACAAATTCTCCTCTAGATGGCAAGTTCACCATTATGTCCTCACGAATTATCACTGTATATGTCAGCTTAGGCCACTCAATACATATTTGTTGAATGAATACATTAAATCTTAACTAAATTTAACAATTCGGTTCAGTGAAGGAGTGAATAACTGACAAAATAGGTTTAAACTTTTTGCTTGTCTGTTTGGTCATAGATAAGAAGTTGAGTCTTTTAATACTTGAATAATTACAGATTCCATGAGAACATAATCTTGGGTATATACAGCATTGAGTTTTATTTGGCATAGGGAGGAAGGAAAATATTTTATCACTTGTTTACTTATGTGGGGAAAACCACAAGATGTTTACCATATAAAATCAGGAATAAAATAGTATTATTACTATGATGATAGATAAATAACATGTTTTCTTATCCTTGACTATATTATGGTAAGAAGTTTCAAGTTGAAGTTAGGGCACAGCCCAGTTCTGGAAGCCTACCAGGACTTCTGTGATGTCAGCCGGCCTGTTTGGCACTGCAGAATCTGAGAAAAAGATCCAGAGTTGGCTGTAAATACAGTAATGTTTCCCCTTTAACTGACAAACCTGCTGGTGCTTGTGGATCTGTTTAGCTGAGTTTTGACGGGTCTGGCATCAGAAAAGACACTTTATCTCAGTGTTTGTCCTAGAATCCTGGTTTCAGTGGCAATACCCATGTCAGTTTTATTTTGTTTGAAAGCAAACTAAAAGTAATAGTTAGAAACATTTCCACTTCTGAAAAACCTTCCTGAACTAATGAAAGTCTTAGTGGAAGACCAAGTTGATTATCTATACTTAAAGCAGAACTATACCATACTTATTGTAGCTGGTCTGAATTTAAGCATTTGTTTATCATTTATTCATCCATCCACTTAGCAAACATGTATTAAGCCTCTGTTGAGTTTAGGGCCACAGCATTTCACAACTCCAGGGACACTATTCTCTTTCTGTCAATTCAATAGTGCACATAGAATGTGAGGGAGTTGGTAATGCCAAGGTACTGATACCAGGCTATCTGTTCAGCATTAGGGTATACAAAGCCAAATAAGACATTGTCCCTTCTCTTGGAGAGCTCTCAGGCTAAGGAGGCAGACATTATCCAATGTAACAATAAAGGTAACATGTGTTACAGGTATCATGCTGTAAACCTGTACAGAGGAAGCATCAGCTAACTTTATTGGCCAAAGCAATTGAGGAATTGGGGTGCTTGGTCAGGAAAGGTTTAGTAGTGGCTATGACTTGAGCTTAGTCAGAAAAATGGACAGGAAGCAACTGGCATTGCTGGCAGAGAGAATAGGAGAGCCAGGCTGGACAAGGTGAACTAGCCTGGACTGTGCATGGAACAAGCTGTCTGCCAGATCACGGTGTGGGGGCTGCTCTCGGGAGACTGCAGGAGAGTCAGGCTGAAGCCAGAAAATAGAGAATTATATTGCCTTTATAAGAAATTTGTACTTTATCCTGTAGGCAAGTGTGAAGCCATTGGAGAATTATAATTTGTGCTCTCTCTAGATGAGCTGATCTGCTAGGAAATGAGACAGCATAAAAATCTTGAAGCAGAAGAGAAGTAAACTGCTTTATGAATTTTTCCTTTATAGAATCTAAAAATTTTATAAAGATCCAAGGGCAAATAATGCAATTTAAGGGAATGAGGAGGTGCTTGCAAGTTGGTCTAATTGCAGAATTCTAATAGATTTCTATGATTTTCTCCAGTCCTTTTATGTTTATGTAATATTTTAAAAAATCACATCATTGTAGTAACAGTAAAGCTGGCATAAGCTGACAGAATAGGCACTGACTCAGTAATTGTTAACTCTGGGAATTCAAATGAGGGAGAGCTGGAGCATTTAGTGAAGTTTTGGTCAGGATCTTTTAGAAAGGGCATACCAGTAGGGACCATTTTATAGGGCACATAAAAGAGATGAAAGTTCTTGGCATCAGTTATATATATATATATATATATACGCACATACACACACACATACACACACACACATTTTTTTAGTTAAGAGATTTTATTCTAATAACTATAATTACACTGCTTGTTTGTCGAAATGAAAACTGAAAACAAGTATACAAAACAGTTGATTACTAATCGTGTATTGAAAGCAGTAAGAGGTTCCACAAAACCAGTTCTGAGGTTTTCCCCAAGGTAAATTTTAACAGCTCTTAGTTTCTTCAGTGTTTATCAAAATACAAAAGAAAAAAGTAGAGATTGTTGTTTTTGATGTCAATCTGACCCTTGCAGGCTGAGGGAGTGAAAGCACATGTGGATGGGGGCTCTGAGGAGCTAGGGGCTCTATGACTGGTCACCTGTCTGCGTTCCTACTGGTGAGACCCAGACAACCTGGAGCAAGTGAGTGTGTGTAGGGACCAAGGGGGTCTCCCGTTCTGGCCAGAGTGGTCCCACCAAAGCACCTACGCTGACCCACACTGACCGAAGGGAAGGCTGGGGTCCCTCTAAGGGGCCTTAGTGGTGGCCACAGCCCCCAGCCCACCCCCATAGGCAGTGGTGTAAGCACAGGTACAAGCACAAATGTTATGGGATGCAGATGACCCAGCAAGACAAAGCCAATCAGGGACCGTAAGTGACCATGCAGAACGTATTGTGGCTGGTTCTGTCCACTGCACGCTCCAGATGGGAGACAGACCACAGGCAGACTGGACTCAAGCTGTTACTGCAGAACCTACACTAAGCACATTTCTCCCTTCTCTGTGTTAAAATGTCTCCTTACCTTGTATTTATATTATAAAAAATGCACTGAGTTTGGGTTAAAAACAAACAACCAAAATGGATCTCAACACAGATTTAAAGCCCAGAGGAGGAGCGTTGAAGTGATCTCACAGCAACTCCTAGAGGTCCCACCCCAGGTGCCTAAAATCCCTTCTCAGTACTAAACAGTTTGATTCTTTTTTTTTTTTTTTTAAATAAAAATAGCTGAGTAATATTGCATAGGAGTACCAGAAACTGCCTCATTGGAAACAAGAACTATTTACATTAAATAAAAACCCGGTTGCAGGCTGCGTCTGCACATGTACAGCACGATGAA